AGCCAGAAATGGCCCTTTCGGTCTATTCTGTCCTGTGAGAGTTCTACTTTAAGCCCCAGGCAGAACGGGACGAACACGTTTAGAAGCCTGGTCTGTGAGAACCCATCTGCCAGAATATTTTCCGGGTTAGTCAGCTCGACTATGGCGAAATATTAATAATAGAACATAACCTCGGAATACAGAATGTAGAACAAAAATGGCACACAAAAGACAATTATGTAATTAATGAGACACTAAAAAGTATCATTTTATGACCGATAGCACTGTTCATATAAGGTGTTTATCAGTGTTTCATCTTAGGGTAACAGGGAAGGAGGTTTAGGAATTTCACCTTCTGTTGAAAATGACATTATAAAGCCATTTCCAAGCATGCAGTTGAACCAAAATCTTTCCCAACTTGCCAAGGAATGCGCTGGTCTAAGAGCATTTACCTCTGTGAGTCGGTCTACGAAGACAACTCAGGTGGACTCATGTGGGAGTAATTTCTCACGGAAACGCAGTGTACCAATGACATCTTCCACGACCTGTCGACATCTGGTGACGCTGACTGTGATGAGCGGCCAGTTTTGACGAAAATTATCAACGCAAGGTTATAATCGACATCATAAAGAATGTCTTCGGACATTTACCGACGCCGAATAGGCAGCATAACTTTGTTGTATGATGCTCCTGTGTACCGCCCGATGATATTTACGACTGCCATTCCATTTTTTCAGCAAGAATCAGTCTTTCTGCCCGCGACATCAGACCCATTTTATCACTCTCAATAGACACGATCTCAATCCAAGTTGAACTATTTTCACATTCAAATCTATTCCGTCGTTAAAGTACTTAGCAATGTATTCTATGCAAAAAGGCAATGAAAGAAGTGCTGATGTTTTGGGTTTTTGCTATTTTTCATTGCTTTTTTTCTACTTATTTTCATGCACTTTCTTTTTACTGTACTGTTATATTTGGCCTTCATTAAGTGATTTGTAGCAATACATTGTTATAAAAACAAAACTTTTATTAGATACCCAACAATTACTCCTACAAACACCTAGAACTCGAACCTTCGCATTCATGCGCAGACAATTACTTTTTACGCCTTTTATTGGAATACAAACTTGGAAAGAAGTGGCGTGGCGTAGATTCTCACGCGAATCTTATACAAGCCTACAAGTTATGTCCCCTAGTGTAAATGTCGTTAATGGACCGAAAACAGTAATTTCCTGTGGGTAGCCAATATGGAGATCAAAGCAGATGAGACAGGTCTAGAAGTGAAGTTGTAACAAGGTGAAGCGATGAAATTGGTGGTCCACAGACAAGTTCCTTAAATGCTCTACCGAAAAATCCGCCTACAGCGTCCATTGTTGAAGGCAGAGAGATAATAGTGACGACGTGATATACTCGTTGCTTGATTGACTTCTGCTGTTCGAGAGTGTGTAGGTCTAGAAGCCGGAGTTAGTAGTCAGCGGAGGTATCATTTACCTGAGAGGTAGGATTGCACTATTGAAGTGAACCCGAAGATGTCTCAGTTGGGTGATTCTAGGCGATTCTATGTTGCAGGTTCTCGCATCAACAATGACAGCTTTCCACTAAAACCAGTTGGCGCAGACTTCCTAGGGGAAATTGGGACAGTTAGCAAGCCGTCCTTGCGAGCCGAGCGCGGACTCTAGGTCGGCCTACTAGCATCTTCAGGTGACCACCTCGATTCTGATGACAGCTAAGGCTGGACTGCAGCGATGGCTGAGCCATTTTTATCTGCTAGTAAAGGGTTTGATGGGTTGACTTCCAGTGCGATGAGACGGCCGCTCCTTAGAGACGCGTTTTGAGAAACGAAACAGGATTGACTATTCCCAGACGAGGAAGACTTTCTGGATGAACGAACAAACGCGAATTGTACTGTACTGAAGGAAGGTCTTGGCAAGGCTTGATTTGCACCCATTTAGGACGCGTCAAACTGTATTTCCAAATGCGGTAGACAGCTTGATTGAATTGACAGTCAATGTTTTTGCGTGTGCCTTGCTGAGGGAATTTTTGACTAATTGAGCAGCAGAAACCAAAAATGATCCTGTAGATACTGAGGAGACGACTAGAATAACTTAACCTTCTAGCCGATGTCGTAAGCAAATATTTGCGTTGGCTCATTAAACTTTAGAATCTGTTGAAAATTAGTTAACGCAGACACGATTAAACTTGGTACAAGCATTGGTTATGTTAGTAATGTAATCTGATTTACCACAAGCGTACTAATACTTATTATGAGGAAATTTTTTGCAAAAAAAACAACGAATCACAAAAAACCGAGGGCCTGACAAACATTTTGACGGTAACTTGCGATTTACCGGGCGTATAAATAGACCAGTGGATGCGGTAGATCAAAGGAAGAGGTTATGAAGAACCATCACCGCATGTTACTTGGCTAGATGGCAGAACCAATTACTGACGAAAAGTCCGAAACATAACAATAAAGGGAAATGTGATTACAAGTAGACATTATGAGTTTGGGCCAACTGAACTGAAATAAAGCACAACTTAAATTCCGCAGGCCCCATTTTAAGCTAATAGTCGTGTCAGCACAAAAAGAGGATTTGGTTACTAACATAATATTGGCTAGGAAACAGTACTAGACAGAAAGTAACCATTAAAATGTGCGGTGAACTCCGTCCCACTAGGCCAAACATATGTTTAGATACTGACGAGAACATAAATCATTTCGATAAAGGAATTTTGAATTGCATGCTTTTAGTGTTATGCGAACTAGATGAACACAAATGGTGTGGGGCATAGGTGCGTATACTACTGCACAACTAACCTGTAGTAAGAGGATACAGACTTCGGCTTTCCCCTTGATCGCAGCCTCGTGCAGGGGAGTGTAATGCCAGTTATCTTGCGCATTCGGGTCTGAGTGGGCCGCGAGCAACAGTTGTACAACTTCTGCGTGTCCAAATGAGCATGCGTTGTGCAGGGGGATAAGGCCTGACGTGTGTGTGATAAGAAAAATATGTTAGTCAATTGTGCTTAATTATGAAAAACTTAATGAGATATAAAAATTTATGGACGCAATCCTTATAGTTATGCAACATTCACATGACATAGTTAACTTACCACCATCATCCTTTGCTGAAACATCCGCTCCTCGCACCAATAGTAGCTCAACCACTTCCAATCGGCCATATCCAGCCGCAAAATGCAGGGGAGTGGACTTACGTCCTGTGGCATCCTTCAGATTAACTGAAACACCACTGTCCAGGAGGAATCTAACGTGCGAAGCGTCACCCAGTCGGCATGCTTCGAAGATATCTTGAGGAGAGAAGGCCGCTGCCTCCGTAGTAATTATGCCTGTTTGTTGGGTAACAGAATTTGACACTGTATCCCCCAGAGAACACACATTGCGAGGGATAGGCTCTTTTATATCATTTGCCATTTCTCTCCAAATTCACTACGATCCGACCAGGTTAAATTTTCGGACGCATCTGAAAGTAGAGGAGATGCAAATGAAT